GAGAGTTTCGAACCTTCTCTCTCTCAGCACCCTAACATTCTTTTATTAAGATATATTTGAATAATTACAAGGAGGCCCTTAGGTGGGCAAGAATTTACAAAGAACTTAATATAGACAGGATGGGCCCAGAATAAGGCCCATTACAGAAAAGAAACATAAATAACAAGAAAGAATAAACAACCTATGGGCCATTCGGCCCATCTTCTCTACAGACCTATCACATAAGTTTCTAGATGCACCCCTCCATTTTGTCCATCCTGCTCGACTTCTATGGGTGAGAAGCTCCATATGCATATGTAAAATTAATTCAATTCAACTAAGCCTCATGTCTAAATATTTTTTTTGAAAATAAATATAAAATTAATTTAATTCAACTAAGGTCCAACACTTGGCCCTTATTTATTTGCTTTGATCATAATGAAATTAACTAAATATATTTAGGAGGAAGTCCCATGGTGCACGTCATTTTCCGGTGACATTGTTTTAATTGATGAAACTAATGTAGGATTAAATGCAAAGTTATGTTTATGGACATATGCCTTAGAAACAGGAGGCTTTAAAATTGGTAGGACTAAAATATAAATATATGTCATGTAAATTTAATAATAATAAGAGTGCAAATCAGAGTACACTTAAGGATTGGAGACGAAGAGGTAACTCAATGTAACCTTTTCCAGTACCTTGGTTCAATAATTCATATCAAGGGAGAGATCGGGGAGGATGTCACCCATAGAATTAGTAGTCTGTTAATAGATACTGGTTGATTGTTAACAGATACTGGTCAACTGTTAACAATAATAGTCGACTAACAAAGGTAGAGATAATTAGAGAGAATGGGGGATGCCAAACTTGATCGATAAGACTAAATAGAGAGTTGAGGGACTAAAAGGAGTAGATGATCCAAGAGAAGAATCAAAATCTTCTTGGAAACTTATTTAATCCACTCCAAAGTGAGCTCCTATAATAGTCCTGGAAAGAGACTAACAAGAGGACAACAGCATGTTTCCGCTCGAAGATAAGGATCGAAACCTTCTTAGGACAAACCCAAACCAAGCACAGTAGAGATTGGTTGATGTAGCCTAGGTGATACAAGCAGCAAGAAACTTCAAAGAATACAACAACTGGAGAGAAAGAAACCAGAGAATGTTCTTCAGTGGTTGCGCAGCTTCAATGTTTAGCAGATTAGGGCTGATCATAACAACTCTAGAAAAGTTCCATGAGCAGAAGAAGTGAACACAGACACAGTGGAGTGTTTACACCAATATGCATTTCAAAAACAAGGAAAATAGGTCAGGTCATGACCTGCTCTGATACCATATCTGTCAAAACTGGCGACTGCTCTGATGCTAGAGTTAGGTCGAGGAAGAAAAAAGGTGACGAGAAAGAGCTGTTCGGGTGTGTCAAGACTGACCCCCACACCTAGAAAGATGACCTTTTATATTAAAAGATAAAAGGACTATTCTGTCCTTAAGATACAAATAGTCTATAGCCAATATAAGTAGAGTACAGCAAAGTATAGCAAAGATACAAGGAAAATGACAAAACTAACCCTCCCCTTTATCTCTACTATTAATGTCTCTACATGTACTTTTTGACTACTAATTAGGAGTTTGCTCCCTTTACCAAAATGGGATGCGTCCAAATGGCCCCCATTCTTATACATCTCTGCATAACAATTATTTAACCCAGCCATCCAAATCTAAATGTATTCTTATTGAGTAAACTTCTGCTTGCATAAAAATCATAAGCTTTTCACATATCTGCAAGAAAGTTTATGCTTACATGATCATATCCTCACAATATAATATGCTTTTGTTTTTTTTTTCTTGGAGGGGAGAGGTGATGATTCTGCCATAAGAATTACCAATGTGCTTTTTATTAATTGGTGTATGTTTCAGTTGCTGTGTTTTACTTGTGGCATTCCTATTAGCTTATTATCTCTTTCTTCATTAGATGCATTTTGAAGAAGGGTTGTCAGCACGGCACAAGGCGGGGGAATCCACTAAGCTTATCCCTAAGGGCGTCCGAGGAAAAAGTGCCTCAGAAAAGCTCACTGAAGAGGGGCTTGTCAAGTTATCTGCTCGTGTAAAAATCCAGGTATGTGATCTTGCAAGAAAGAGGTGCTTTTAGTAGAAAAACGTTTTATAATCATGTGCATGCACACACACACGGAGAAGGGTTATTTCACTATAATCATGTATACTTGTATGTTGTTAAAGAGAAACTATAAAATATACTTATCCACTTTGAAATGTCGTATCTAGTTTGTTAGTCATTATTTCACTAAGTTGGTTAATGACTGTAGGTTTTCAAGACTGCTATTCAGTCTTGATCGCTAAGAGATTTTAGGTTCGATGAGAAGAGAAAGTGAAGAAGATGTAGAAGAAAGAGTGATGAAAGAGCAATAGAACACAGATTTTGAGGAGAAGAACAGAATGTCAATATTCTGCCGCCGCCACTTTAAGTTAATATATATAGGTTATGCTAGTTACATGAAAGGACATATCTGCCCTTGGTGTTTNCTGCCCTTGGTGTTTACATCATAACTGCTAACAAATAACAACCAATATAAAACTGAAACTAGAAATAACAGAACAACAAAATAACCACAGCTGTGACTAGATACATTCTACCCTATGGACAGAGTGGTACCACAGCTGTGGGGCCCACATCAATGTTCTCTACAATGACCATGTAATTTCTTCATGAAATTATTTTCCCTCTATTGTCTACCTTCCTTACCCGTCTCAATCCGATAGACATCTTTGTCATGACACTCTATAAACTATCAGTAACACATATAAAGAATGTCTAATAATCCATACTCCCTGTCCCCGACCCCGATCCTTGTCAGGGATAAAATGACCCTCCATCCCTGATCCCTGATAGAGACGGATTACCCATTGGGGACCCAAATCCCCGAAATTTTTAAATTAAAAGTTTTTTAGAAATAGATTTACTTAAAATAGGGAAAATTTTTAAATTAAAAAAATGTTTTAATATATTTTGATACCTATAACATAAACAATATTATAGATTTAATTATATTTAATATATAATGGGTTGGGAATTGGGGCGGGGCGGGAACCTGTGTGACATACTGAGGTTACATTTTAAAGGTGAATACAAGGTGGCATATGGTTTTGTATACCTAATGAGCATTGGGGAAATGATCATTTTAAAGGTTCCCTACCCTATTCAATATACAGTTTGTATTGGTCATCCATCCTCCACATGGTTGAAGTATTGAAGGTAGTCAGGCAAAGATCCAACTTCAGATAACTTTTTTTTTCTCTCTTTTTATTTTCAGTTTGATTATCTACATTAATGACTTCACGCTGATAACTAAACTGGATGATTGAATATTTGAACCATGAATTGCCAGCTCTTGCAGTTCAAAGGCCAGTTTAGTTTTAAAAATATTGTTTATTAACCATTTTTATATTTTGATGGTTATATATACAAACTACCCAATTTAATGGTGCCATTGGTCAGATACTTTCTGGAAACTAAAGGTTTTTTGTCAATTGTGGATCATAAGTCACAACAAAGTCTGACTATTAGATAACTTTAAGAAATCGGTTTGTAGTACATCAGTTACATAATTGAAGGAATTGACAAAACAACAGTAGTTCTGCATCTGCGGTCTTGATTTTTTATCATAACATGCTTGACATTTTTATATACCCTAACCAAAGAATACTTCTGTTAGTATCTCAGCTTTAAAAATATTGTTTCAATGTATTAACATTACAAGGATTTAAACTGCACACCCTGTTCATATTCCTTGAAGTACCTCAAATTCAGGACCATGACATCTTTGTGACCTACCTGGAGTTTTATATGCTCCTCATTTATTCTTTTTATTAACATTGTTGAAAACTATGTAGGTGGATGTTGTGAAAGCTTACAATGTTGCAGAGGGACCACAGTGGAAGCATTCTCTTTTTGGAAATCCAAATGATCCTGATACTTTCAGGTTTGTTTTAACTCAACTGTACAATCTGAAGCAGTTTACACCACAATCATCTAGCCTTGCAACGGGTATCTGTGCTGTCCAAAATTGACCTTGGAGTCAACTCTTTTCTATTTAAGAATCATATTTCTGTGTTCTGTATTCTTTGACTACCATCTGAAGCATTTCACACCATCGTCATGCACTATGTAGAGCATCTGAATATCTGTCCAAAATTGATCTACATCAACTTTTCCTTTTTAAAGTCATTATCTGGTGTTTTAATTACTTAATTTTTGCTGTATAGATTAGCTGAATTGCTTTCATTCCATTGGTAGAGAAGCTTCTGTTTGACTATGAAACCTACAATGCAATTATTTTGTGTCTGATACAGTTCGCTATATGTGTGTGTGTGTGCATTAATTTCCATCTTAAGGATTTCCTTTGTCTATCTCCAACTACCACAGGAGAAGATGTGAGATTGCAGAGACTCTTGCTGAAAAGAACTTTGACTTGGCTTTCCAAGTAGTATATGAATTTAATCTTCCTGGTATGTAATTTTTCATGATTTTTTCTTTGATTTGCCGGTTTTTTTCACATTCTAGTTTTTTGGATCAATTTTTTCATGTCTTTTATGGTTAAATTCATTTTTTATGTATTTCTTAGTCTTCTTGTATCTCTCAACTGTTTTTTTGGGCGCTTTTACAGCTGTTGATATCTATGCTGGAGTTGCAGCATCACTTGCTGAGAGGAAGAAAGGTGGTCAGTTGACAGAATTTTTGAGAAATATCAAAGGCACAATTGATGAGGATGATTGGGACCAAGTAATGCCTATTTCACATATTTAGTTAGTATTGGATTCAGTTCAGTATTGTTGTAATGTGATTATCAGAGCTGCAGGGGGATTTATGGAGGAGAAGCCAAAATCAAATCTGGCTGCCCCTTTCATTAGATTATATACTCAGAAATAAAGAATGTACAAGTACAAGTATGCCCTTAGTAAGTCGGCTACTTGTAAGAAGCTGAAAAGTCACACTTAAACATAAACTAATGGGCCTAAGGCCCAACAATTACTTAACTAAGGTATGTAAATAAAATCGGCCCACAACTCAACACTCCCCCTCAAGTTGGGAATAAATGTCACATTCCCAACTTGTGTAGATCATTCTCTAGCTTGTTTTTTGCACCACCTTTTGTAAGAACATCAGCAAGCTACAACTCAGATGCAACATATGGCAAGCAAACTTCTCCGGAGGTCACCCTTTCCCTTATAAAATGTCTGTCCACTTCAATGTGCTTCGTCCTATCATGTTGAACTGGGTTGTGGGCAATGTTAATTGATGCTTGATTGTCACAGTATAGCATCATAGGTTCTTCTGCCTCAATCCCAATCTCCCCTAACAAGGAATGGATCCAGAGGAGCTCGGAAACACCATGTGCCATAGCTCTGTATTCAACTTCTGCACTAGACCTTGCCACAACTATCTATTTCTTACTCTTCCATGAAACTAGATTACCTCCAACATGAGTGCAAACTCTTGATGTAGATCTCTTGTCATCTAGACATCCTGCCCAATCAGCATCTGTGTAAGCCTCTAACTTCAATTGTCCATGGTCAACAAACAATATGCCTCTACCTGGGTGTCCCTTAAAATAGGAAAGTATCCTGTCAATAGCTTCCCAATGTTGAACTCGTGGGGCATGCATGTATTGACTCACCACACTCACTACATAAGAGATGTTTGGTCATGTCATACATCAGTATAACAACCACCCCACTAATCTCTGATACCTACCAACATCCTTTACTAGTTCACCTTCTGAAGCATTTATCACGTGGTTCTGATCAATAGGTGTATCAGCTTCCTTTGCCCCAAGTTTCCCGGTCTCTTGTAGTAGACCCAGAACACTTTCTCTATGAGATGAAGATCCAATGTTTAGACTTGCCACCTCAATGCCTAGAAAGTACTTCAGCTCCCCAAGATCCTTAGTTTCAAACTCTTTGTGCAGATTCTTCTTCAAGGTATCAATCTCACTCAAATCATTTCCTATTACTTACAATGTTATCCACATACACTATCAAAACTAACACCAGTGACCCCCTCCTCTTCACAAACAGTGTGTGATCAGATTGAGTTTGAGTATAGCCAAATACAACCAATGCACTTCTAAACCTATCAAACCAAGCTTTGGGTGATTGCTTTAAACCATATAAAGACTTCTTCAACCTGCATACCTTTCCCTTTTCCACATCATTGTAGAAACCAACTGAAAGATCCATATACACTTCCTCTTGCAAATCCCCATTGAGAAAAGCATTCTTCACATCAAGTTAGAAGAGTGGCCAAGAGTATGTAGTTGCTAGTGATAGAAGAATCCGGACTGAGCTCATCTTTGCCACTGGTGCAAAAGTTTCCAAGTAATCTATGCCATAAGTCTGAGTGTACCCTTTTGCAACCAGCCTCGCCTTATACTTTTCTATACTCCCATCAGCCTTGTATTTCACTGTATAAACCCATCTGCATCCAACTGTTTCCTTGCCTTCTGGTAGATCCACAATCTCTCACATTTGACTCTTAATCAAAGTTTTCATTTCCTCCTGCATAGTTGCCTTCCAAAAAGGTTTGGAGAGAGCCTCATTAACACCCTTGGGTATAGACACGGAGCTGAGGGAGGAAAGGAAGGCTCGGTAGGAAGGGGATAGTCCACTGTAGGAAAGATAGTATGAGATGCAATGAACAGTACACTTTCTCTTCCATTTTCTGAGTGCAATAGGAAGATCAAGGTCATCTGCAATGGGGTTAGGAGCAAGGGTAGTAGTATCAATAGGAACTAAACCATCAGAGGAAGCAAGGGGCATACCTGGGTCAATGTCAGTCGAACCTAGAATCTCCGATGAGCCAATAGAGAGTGATGTGGGTTCCTCTGTTGTGGAATCAACCTCCTTATGCAGTCGTAGGTGTTGTCATGTAAAACACTGAGAAACAGGATGCAATGGAGGTGGTAAAGTGGGTGAAATAGGTGAGTCGGACACTAGAGTGGACAAAGGGGTTGGAACCGAAAGTGGTATAGATTGCTCACTTCCTTCCCCTAAATACTCCCCCTGAGAAGAACCCTCTACGAAAAAAAGATGTGGACTCAAAAAAGGTGACATCCATAGTAACATACCAACTCCCGGAGACTGGGTCGTAGCAGCAATACCCCTTATTTCCTGCATACCCAAGGAAGACACTTCTTCGCCTTAGGGTCCAGCTTTAAGCCGCGAGGACCAAGAACATGGACAAAGTATACACATCCAAACACCCTTAGAGGAATATGGAACATCTCCCCCTCAGGAAAAAGAAGGTTGAATGGAGTGCTATATCCAAGAACACGAGAAGGCACCCGATTAATCAAGAAAACTGTTGTAAGAATTGCATCACCCCAAAAGCGAACTGGAATAGTAGAGCTCAACATCATGCTTCTTGCAACTTCCACAATATGTTTGTTCTTCCTTTTTGCTACACCATTCTGTTGTGGAGTGTATAAACAACTGCTTTGATGGATTACTCCATGCTCCAATAGGTATGATGCCAGGTTTTTTGAAAAATATTCCTTGGCATTGTCTAATCTAAACAATTTCACTCACACCTCAAACTGCATCAGCACCATCTGATGAAACTGTCAAACCAAAGATGGTACCTCATCACAAGATCTCATCAAATATGGCCAAGAATATCGAGAGCAATCATCCATAAATAGAAGAAAATACCAATAGCCACCAATAGAGGAAACATGATATGGTCCCCATACATCAGTATGAACAATATCAAAAGCAGAAGAACATCTTTTATTACTTGCTTTAAAGGAATGTCTACAATGCTTTCCAAGCTGACAACCTTTACACTCCAAACTAGACAAACTAACAGACTCAAACAACTTCGGAAACAAGAAATGCAAAGAAGCAAAAGACAAATGTCTTAACCAATTATGCCAAAGCATAACCTGACCCACTGACTCTGATTCAATACCCCTGCTGACATGATGACTCTGATGACTAGGAAGCACATCAAGAAGATAGATTCCATTCACCTCACGACCACTCCCAATCGTCCTCTTTGATTTCAGATCCTGTAAAGCACAATGACTGGGAGAAAAAATCACTGATCAATTCAAATTCTTTGTCAAGCTACTAACAGATAAAAGGTTAGTACTCAGTCTAGGGACATGAAGGACAGAGGGTAGGGTAATGGTATCGGTTATCTTGACAAACCCTTTCCCAACAATGGGAACATGTGATCCATTAACTGCGGAGACTCTATCTCTACCATAGCAGAGGTGGTATGAGGAGAAAATGGTGGAAATGTTGGTCATATGTTCTGAGGCTCTTGAGTCTATAATCCAAGGAGGTCCCTCTTTACCTATAGTGGAAACATAGTTTGCAGTGGCATGTGAACTACCTGTATGTGCAAAATAGTAGAATGGCTACCTCCTGATCCACTTGCACCCTGTTGTTCGCTTGATAATGGGTTGGAACTGACTATATCCCTCTGATTCAAAAATTGTCCATATCTCTCCAATTCGGCCATCACTACAACTACTGCAACAGACTCTAGGGAAGTTGTAGTAGGGGGTCCTGATAAGTCACCAGTCACTGACATATTCACATTTCCCATTTTGTTTATGAGTCGGCTAGGCACAAGGTGTGGGTAACGTTTCCAGCAGGTATCTCTAGTATGTTTTAGACTTTTTACAGTAGTCATAGATCAAATCCTTCTTGTCCTCCTTCCTAGGTTCATTTCCACCCTTGTCTCCACTTGGCTTAGGCTTCATTGTGCTAACCATGGCTGACTGCCCAAAGCCTGGGTTCCTCATCATCACATTCCTCCTACTCTCCTCTCCAGGCACAAAAGCATATGCTTGAGAGAGAGTAACACTGTTTCTGGAAAGAATATGCTGCCATGCAATGTCATACTTAGGGTTTAGTCCAGCTAGAAACTCAAACTCTATTCTTCTCTACAAGCTTCCGATAAGTTGTTGCATCCTTGCTACTTTCTCAAACCACAGTCTCCAAATGATCTATCTCCTGCCATAAGGTGTTGAGGGCTGAAAAGTAAATATCAACAGATTTATCTCCCTGCCTGGTAGCAATCACTGGTTTCTCAACTAGTAGGCTCTAGTAACATTCTCATTACGTGAATAGGTTTTTGCAACTCCATCCCAAATCTCCTTAGCTGTGTTAGCCCATAAAAAGTTTTTACTTATATGGGGCAACATAGAATTGCATAACCAAGTCATCACCATGTAGTTCTCCTGTACCCACTGGGAGTAGTTAGTTTCAGGTTTCTTCTCCTCACCGGTGACATACCCCAATTTCCCATGAGCACCAATGGCCATCTTTGCAGATTGTGACCACTCCAAGTAGTTTGTACCATCTAACTTGACTGTAGTGATGGTCCCAACCCCGAAGAGGTCTCTAGCGCCTCCTCCCCCTTGTCCCATTTCACTTCCAAGTTTGTTTTCAACTCCACAGCCCTCCATAACTCTGATACCAAGTAGAAAAGTTTTGATAACCTGTTTTGATATAAAATCTGTAAAAGAAAGAAGTGAAGAAAAGGTCTCTACTAGAAAGAAAGAGAAGAGAGATAGAAGAGAATGGAGGAGAAGCCAAAATCAAATCTGGCCGCCCATTTCATTAGATTATATACTCATAAATAAAGAGTGCACAAGTACAAGTATGCCTTTAGTAAGTCGGCTACTTGTAAGAAGCTGAAAAGTCGCACTTAACTTAAACATAAACTAATGGGCTTAAGGCCCAACAACTACCTAACTAAGTTATGTAAAT